GGGTGTGGTTTGGGCTTTGCTTCTGTGAAGACTGACAGCCTTGGAGACCCTGTGGGCAGTTCCACTCTGTCCTCTAGGGGCGCTGTGGGTCGGAATCAACTCCACAGCAGTGGGTGCGGTTTGGGTTTTTGATGTATGAGACAAAGAACCCTAGTGGTGCTCTGGTGACGTGCTTAGCTGCTAACTGAAAGGTCAACCTGCAGGTCCACAGGAGAAAGCCCTGAAGATTGGCCTCCGTAAAGATTTCAGCCTAGAAACGCTATGGCGCAGTCCTGCTCTGTCACACAGGGTTGCTATGGGTCATAATCGACTTGACAACACTAGAGAGAGACAGACACAAAGAGGAGGGAGGGGAGAGGAGAAGCACAGAGAAGAAAGAGACCCTTCCCACCTGGCAGCACGTTGCAGGGCCCCCACTGCACAATGGTGTCTGTGTTCTCACCCTCCACTCCAGGCACAATCCGTCACCCGTCGTTCACACCACTTCCTGCTTCAGCTTCAGGGCGGAGTCCACCCGAGGCTCCTCACTGGTGGCTCACTGAGCTGAGTGCACCCAAGGCTGCTACCCAGTGGATCACAGGGTGAAGCAGAATTCAGGAAGCGGGTGTCCGTGGGCATGGACTACGAATGGGGCACAGTGGAAACCGGGAGCGTGGGTGATACTGAAATGTGGCTCAGGGCAGAGTCATCACCGCTGTCCCTCCTCTTCCCTGCAGGGAGCTTGCAGGTCCGGTACAACCTGGGTGGCACCCGTGAGCCCTACACCATCGAGCTGGAGCACAGGAGCGTGGCCAACGGGCAGCCGCACAGCCTCAACATCACCCGCCAGCAGAGGGCGCTGGTGCTGCAGGTGGGTGCTGCACGGGGCCGGGCCGCACAGGCGGGGGCGTGCTGGCGCCGTTGCCACCTCCGGCGCTTGGGCGGCCGTGCGTTTGCTGTACTTCCTTCTACCGACTCCTCGCCATGGAACGGGAAGGCCGTGCAGACCTTGATGAAGGCAGTGCGGGGATTGGCAGTAGGCACCCTTTTCAGGGAGAAGCCAGGAAATCCCTCGTGATTTCCAGGGTCCGCCACACACACCACTTTGTGAACTCATTGTACCACATCTCGATGCCCTCAAATGGCTGACACTTGCTGCCTGTGGGACAGGTTCGCTGTGTCTGACTGGCCCCCACGCACACAGTGAATCAGAGTGGCTTTCCCTCCGTGGATGCTGGGCCCTGCCCTCCGCACAGAAAGGGTGCTTCAGGGTAACGCTGGAGTTGCGTCTCTGGCCCCTTGGTTGCCCCCTGTGTACTCACCTGCCTGTGCACTGGAGAAGCCAGGCTGGGAGACGCCGTGGGTAAACCCTGTGTGGGGAGACGTCCCTGGGAGCCGAGCCAGGATCAGGCTCGGGCCGACCTGGCGTCGCTGGGAGGCATTCAGAATAGACACCCGTGGGAGAAGGGCAGCAGGCACCCACTCATCAGGGGCACAGGTGTCAAAGACCACGCCCCAACCACCCCCAACCCCGTCTCCCAGGTGCCAACAGACAGCACAGTCATACGTAGTGTGGACTTTTCCAGGGGCCTGGGCAGTGCATGCTGAGCCATGGGCAGGAGGGCTCTGTCCCCAGAGAATGATGACCTGGCTTCTAGCTTCTATGCCTAATCTGCTCTTTTTTTAAATTGTGATTTGGGTGAAAGTTGACAAAGCACGTTGGTTTTCCATTCAACAGTTCATACACATTTTGTTTCCTGACATTCATTGTGATCCCCACAATGTGACAGCACTCTTCCCACTTCCTCCTTGTGTCCCCCATTCCCTTTGTCCTTCTCGCCTCTCCATTTTTCTTTTAAGTAGGAGCTCTGGTGGTGTCGTGGTTAGAGCAGTTACTAACCAAAAGGTCAGCGGTTTGAACCCACCAACAGCTCTGCTGAAGAAAGATGAGGCAGTCAGCCTCTGAAAAGATGGACAGCCTCGGAAACCCCTCTGCGGTGCTGTGAGTCAGAGTCGACTCCGAGGCAGCGGGTCTGGAGGTGCTTTGAAAGCACATTTGCTTTCCCAGTTCTGTCCTTTCGGACCCGGCCTCCTCCTCTGTTGCGAAGGGATCATCGCCGTGCTGCTGAGCACCGCGTCTGTACGCACTCAATAAATGCCCTTGCCAGATGCGTGCACTGGGGATTCTTTCCCCCTCCTTTTCCCTTATTTTCTCCTTGTTCATTGCTGTCATGTCAGCGCCAACTCATGACAACACATGTACAATAGAACAGCACACCACCCGTTCCTGGAATCTTCATGATCGTTGTATGTTGGAGTCTGTGGTGGTGGCCACTGTGTCTGTCCATCTCATGAAGAATTGCTCTTGTCTTCTCCGACCCTGCACTTGACCCAACATGGTGTCCTTCTCCAGCTAGTGGTCTCCCCTCAGGATTTCTGTCACCCCAACCCCCAGTCAGGCTTTTTCTCCACTGTTCCCCAAAACCCACTCTCAGCAAGATCCTCAGTGACCTGCTCGCCAATAAACCCAAAGGTTAAGTTTCAGTTTTCACGTTACTTGGCTTAAGGATGGTATCCGGAATAGTCCTCACTGGCCCTCCCGGGCAGCACAGGCTTCTCATCTCCCCTCTGTTCAGCCTCCTTGGCTGTTCCTAACCTCCTGTAGTCACCATGCTTCAGGGCTGTTCTTCACTCCCTTGGTGGCTCATCCAGGTCCATGATTGTAAATGGTGTCTATACCCCAAAAAGTCCCAAATTATTATCTCAACCCACATGTCTCCCTGACGTCCAGATTCATACACCACACTGACTACCGGACATCTCCACTGGATGCTCAGTAAACGCACTGAACAACTCCAGATAGGACTCCCCATCCTTCCATCACTGCCCCCCTGCAGTCTTCCCAGGGAGCTGATGGTTACTCGTCCTGCCCGTTGCTCAGGCCAACTGGAATCGCCCTGCGTCCCCACTCTCTTTGTCTCACACTCACACTGGGCCATCAGGAGGTGGTGCCTCACCTGCCCTGGGAGCCTCCATATCTGGACCACTTCTCAGCCTTCCCAGCCTGAGCCCCACCACATCTCCTGGGCAGCAGGCTACTAACGGGCGTTGTACCGCCTTGTCCTGCAGACTCCTCCCTACACATCCACTGCAGTGATCCCCTGAAAGTGACCTCAGAGCGTGACCTCTGCTCAGAACCTCCAGCAGTCCTCACTTCTCTCAGAGAAAACGCCGAATCCTTGAAGATAGCCTATGTCCACTCCTTGACCTCATCTTGACCCTCTCAGCCTTGTAGCTCTCAGCATTGTAGCTGCACTGGCGAGCAACTGCCCACCTTAGGGGATCTGCACAGGCTGGCCCCTCTGCTGGGAGGGCTTTGCCCCAGGAGCTGCCAGGTCAACATCTTCCAACTCTTCACTCAAATCTCCTACTTCAATGGGGCTTCCTTATTTATGATCCCAGCCTGACCTCCTGCCTCACACCAGGTCCCCCTTACGTTGCTACAGTTTGGAAGAGGGGCTTAATATTTATCCCCTTCTAACATGTTATACTAAGGAGCTCTGGTAGCATAGTCATTAAGGCAATTAGCTGCTAACTGAAAGGTTGGTATTTCAAACGCACCGGGTACTCTATACCATTTACTAAGTGTGAGTGTATGTGCGCATGTGTTAGTGTGTGTGTGTGAATGTGTATGACTTTGGGTGTATGTAGGAGTGTATGTGTGTGAATGTATATGTGTATGAGTGTGTATGAGTGAGTTTGGGTTTATGTGTGTGTGAATGTATGTGTGTGAGTGTGCATGAGTGAGTTTGGGTTTATGTGTGTGTGTGAATGTGTGTGTGTGAGTGTGTATGAGTGATTTTGGGTTTGTGTGTGTGTGTGAATGTGTATGACTTTGGGTGTATGTAGGAGTGTATGTGTGTGAGTGTGTATGATGAGTTTGGGTTTATGTGTGTGTGTGGCTGTATGTGTGTGAGTGTGCATAAGTGAATTTGGGTTTGTGTGTGTGTGTGTAAATATATGTGTGTGTGTGAGTGAGTCTGGGTTTATGTGTATGTGTGAATGTATGTGTGTGAGTGTATATGAGTGAGTCTGGGTTTATGTGTGTGTGTGAATGTATGTGTGTGAGTGTGTATGAGTGAGTATGGATTTATGTGTGTGTGAATGTATGTGTGTGAGTGTGCATGAGTTTGGGTTTATGTGTGTGTGTGAGTGTGAGTGAGTTTGGGTATATGTGTGTGTGTGTGGATGTGTGTGTGTGAGTGAACTGGCATGTGTCTCCCTGAACTAGGAAGGAGACGACATGACGCGTGTGTGTGTGTGTGTGTGAATGTGTGTGTGTGAGTGAACTGGCATGTGTCTCCCTGAACTAGGAAGGAGACGACATGACGCGCGTGTGTGTGTGTGTGAATGTGTGTGTGTGAGTGAACTGACGTGTGTCTCCCTGCACTAGGAAGGAGACGACATGACACATTGTGTGTGTGTGAATGTGTGTGTGTGAGTGAACTGGCGTGTGTCTCCCTGCACTAAGAAGGAGGCGACATGAGGGCAGGTGTTTCTGTTGGGTGTGTCCATTAACATGTCACAAGCACCTAAACCAGAGCAAGGCACGCACAGGTACTTGGTAAGGGTGTGTTGGTTGAATAGACCCAGAATGTCTCCTGGTTTCTCCCACGTGACCCTTGCTCAGGGAGACTGTCTCCCATCCAGCAGATGCTGGTTTCCTCCCCTGGCCCACCGCTGCCATTCTCCTTGCTCTCTGCCTCTAGACACCACAATGTGTCATGTCGTCTCCTTCCTAGTGCAGGGAGACACACGTCAGTTCACTCACACACACACATTCACACACACACACACACACGCGTCATGTCGTCTCCTTCCTAGTTCAGGGAGACACATGCCAGTTCACTCACACACACACATCCACACACTTTAGCTTTCTCTGCCTGTGTCATCTGGGTGGGCCCAGCCAGGGGGTGATGGCAGGACAGTGGAGGATGAGAGGAGAGAGCTCAGGTTTTATTATTTCCACCTCTGCCTGTGTGCCCACTGCCTGGCAGGGGGCTCTGCTCCTCTACCCACTGGCACAGATCCTGTCAGCTGGCCCCCAACCATGGCAGGCTGCCACTCACTGCTCCCTCTTGCTTCAATCTCTATCCTAACCCCCTAGTGCTGCTGTAGCAAAAAAAAAACACCACAAGTGCGTGGCTTTGTTGTTGTTAGGTACTGGTGAGTCAGTTCCCACACATAGTGACTGCATGCCAACAGAATGAAACCCTGCCCAGTCCTATGCCATCCTTACAATCTTCGCTGTGTTTGAACCCATTGTTGCAGCCACTGTGTCGATCCATCTCATTGAAGGGCTTCCCCTTTTTCACTAATCCTCTACTTTACCAAACACGATGTCCTCTTCCAAGGACTGGGCCCTTCTGAAAAAGGCCCAGAGTATGTGAGGCGAAGTCTTGCCATCCTCACTTCTAAGGCATGTTCTGCCTATGCTTCTTCCAAGGCAGACATGTTCATTCCTCTGGCAGTCCATGGTACATTCAATATTCTTTGCCAAGACCATAATTCAAAGGCATCAACTCTTCTTCCGTCTTCCTTATTCATTGTCCAGCTTTCGCATGCATATGAGGCGATTGAAAATACCATGGTTTGGGTCAGGTGCACCTCAGCCCTCAGAGTGACATCTTTGCCTTTTTACACTTTGAAGAGGTCTTTTGTGGCAGATTTGTCCAATGCAATACATCGTTTGATGTCTTGACTGCTACTTCCATGAGTGTTGAATGTGGAGCCAAGTAAAATGAAATCCTCAACAACTTCAGTATGTTCTTCGTTTATCATGATGTTGATTATTGGTCCAGTTGTGAG